TACTGTATAGTGTAGAAGCACGACATTGATGACTTTTCTTGACTATAGTCATCTTCGAACTAATAAATGTTCATAGTTTTATATTATCGAATACAACACTATTACTATAGCTAAAACAAATTTTAAAGTTCAAAACAAACCTCGTCAGTAAATATTACTTCTTCACATTGACTAATAGAACAAAAATAATTAATTAAAATGAACATAATATGTTCAAAACTTGATTACCTCTGTCACAAAGATACAACGGAGACTGTATTAGTTTCATCTTGACCCCGATTTCGTGAGAATAACTATTAGTTTTTTGATATTATTTTCATACTAAATGGTCGATAAAACTAGAGTACAAGAGTTATGTAAGTAATCCATTTAACAATTATAATTATTCTATTAATAGTACGACCATTTCGAAATTTTCAATGAGCAAAAAACATCGATCTAAAGCAAATTTTTTTTATCAATCGCAGTGCAACGTTGGGATTCTTGTAGTTACTCGTATTAATAATGACATATTTTGAACGTGCATTTATCAAATATTATATAGATACAAATTAATAAGAATTCAATTAACTCATGGCTACAAAAAAATAAGATGAAAGTACGAATATTGAATGCAGTATAAATTCAATTCTGAAAACCTAATAATACATAGATTCTTTAGGTTCTCAAATAATCATCTAAGTTTCGTTGGAAATGGTTTCTTAATTTTCTTTTTTATAAGTCGCAGTAAAATTAATTATTTTTAAATTTTCATATGAATAAATTGCGTTATTTACCTTTTTTAGTAAAATTATGAAATTACTATTTCTATTCGTATATCTGGGACTGAATACAAAAATATAATAATTATTAAAGTAGAATTCAAAATCATATAATATTAATTTAAAACCTAATTTGTTGTTCGGGGTAAGCAGCTGTATACCCTGCATACCACTTGCGCACGCCTATAAATCCGATTACAACTAAAACGTTTTATCTTAGATGTATACTTGGTCTTCTGACTGGTAAACAGTGCATTTTAATGTGTTCTCTATTTTTACCATTGGTTTTAAATTTTTAATCAACTTCTCTCCGTATGGACATATTGCATAGTTAATTTACGTACCTACATAAAAGTCACTTGTACTTTGAATAAAATAATAGTTTGTTCATCGACATGGGTCATTGAGTTTTATCTGTAATAATACGACGGCGTCTGCGGATCTCACAAAAATGGTGAATATAAAATGATAAATATAATTATTTTAGATTCACAGTAATGAGTTATCGCTCTTATTTCGTTTACAGTTATTTATATCTATCAATATTATATGCTCTATAAGACTGTTTTAGTTATTTTACGAATAATTAATTACGTTTATACTCCTGATTCAATCAATCAACTGTATTTTATCATATCAACGTGCATGTCGTCTATATATTTTTAAAATCTATTATTTCAATATATAAATAAAAAGCGAATGAAAATTTTAAACTTGTATTTCCACGATATCGTTAGATACGAAGTCTTGCGTCATTTGACATAACGTTTACGGTCTTCCGTAATCGTAACATTTGTATTGATTTTTAAAACTACTGCACATATATTAATTCGAAAAAGGACCTGAACGCGTATCGTAGACTAAATTTAATCAAAAATAAAATTAATTAAATCCCGGTCGGTATTCACTGTTCTGGTTCACGTAGTTAGAAAATCGTTTGCTTTGGACAATGTACTCGTATCTTCTTACTAGAAATTAATTGCCTCATTTTGTGTAGGTACAAGAGACAAATAAATATTTACTCTTGATAAAATATCGTTTTACACAACATTGTAGTTGTATTGATACGACGTCGTGTTTTTATTAAATTCATATCAATGTGTTTATATAGTATTACAGGTATGAACATTCTAAGATAATGAATTGCACATGCAAATGTTGAATTTATACAAAATTTATGATTTTTTTCGGCAAAAAAAAACCTAACGATATTCGACGTGATGTATATTTGATGCATAATTGTATATTTTAATACATTTGTATATTGAGCACGCATCCGTGAATATGATATTTTAAGCGCGATACTATAGACGAGAATTGCTGTTTGGAATGCGCCTTAGATTTTAAGAACCTTACTTTTTACACCGCCAAGACGATGACAGTAATATCCAGAGCTGTGGATACATGCGTGTACGTATATACTACATATACAACATCCTACGGGATGGTCGCCAGTAAGACTTGTGTTGAATAAGGTTTTTTATTTTTTTTTCAATGCAATGTTATTCTTCCAAGGGAATCAAATTCCGTGCTGCCCTTATAAAACCGTTTAACGAACAAAAGCCACGTAAAATAAAAATAATTATTAAGCTAATGAAATATTTACATTTATCGCTGCAATATTATTATATAACATCCATGCAAACATATTATACATATATATTATGTATTTATTGCACACTTTACGGGCAATACGAAAAAACGGGTTCAGTTTGCTCTACGGGTAATTTACGCACAATGTGAGATACGCAGATGCTTAGCTGAAATCGTTCACGTCGCACTGGGGCGATTCAAAATGATCCACCATTAGTATACTCCCAGATTGGTATGCGTCCATATCGTACGGATGATTATTTTTTTTTTAAACCACGTGCGCAGAACTGTTAGAAGAAAAGACAAAACTGATAAAAATCCTTTTACCGCGTGTTTATTTTAAACTGTATAGTAGGTTGTTGTTGGGCTCTCTTCTTATGGACATCAACGCACGCAATGTTTGTCACCGTTTTAAAATTTATTTTTACGAACGGATTGTTTACAGGATTATGACCGAGGAATTTTCTAATTTAATCGAACCGTAATATATCGAATCGTATCGTTAATTTTATGTAATGCTCAATTTCGCAATTAATTTTCATAACTTACAAATTATAAATAATTATTTATATTTTTCAAAGCTTTTTTTCCTCCCTTCGTTTGGTCAATTTTATTATATTTTTGCAAAACTGCTCGTTACAATTGTTTTTGGATATAATGTACAAATCTTTCGATAACCAGGAATATTTATTCATAATATGAATTAATTTCTGATCGATTTTATAATTGAATATTATAATATAGAATTTACGCGAAATAGAGAATAGCCGTAACACACATAAGTTATTCCATTTATTATTAATAATAAATATAAGTTTATCTATAACACAACATAATGTAAAGTAGTAAATTGTTAAACTAAAATTTTACACATACTCTTATAATAAGCATTTTTCAAACTAGTTTAACCTATGTCTAATTTTTTTTATCCTTAATTATTTATGATATATACATAAAATTGAGATTTAACATATTTCAACAATTTTAGATGTTTTGTTCTTATAAAAAAAATTAAAAATTAAAACATTCGTTTACATATTACATAATTATACTTTTTTATTTTAATTTGAATCATATAATACATAAAAGTTAACACATATATTTATGTTATTAAATACTATTAACTGAATCAAAATTAAAAAAATAAATATATTCTGAAATTGTAAAATACGTTCTCTACCTATATTCTATTTATAGTTGAACAATTTTAGTTACTTATATTCATTGATTTAAAAACTCATACTAAAAATTAATTGTTTTAAAGAAAAATCATTGTTATTTTGTAGTATTAACAGTCTGTTTTTAGCAGTCTTCGTGGCCTTTTTATATTTATTTTTGCAGTTCTGTCATTTGACATTTTTTCTTGTTTTATTAAAACTATATATTGTCAGTTGGTTCTTTTTTTGTGTTCTTAAATTTCTTTTATATAATAATAATAAAATAGTATTATTGTTATAATATTTAATTAAATTAAATTTTGATTTTTTTTTTATTATTATTATAACTATCATTTATAATTTGTGTGTTGTGCATCGTGACAAATTGGCCAATCTGCCACGAGCACAACACACACACACATACTTATAATATTAAGCAATAATAATAAAAGAAGTAAAACAATATACGGTTTATTAATAATAATAATAATAATAACAAATATGAAAAAATTTGAATAATTATAATATTATTAAACACAATAAAGTATTATAACTTGTAAAATAAAGAGAATGTCAAATGACAAAACTGTAACAACAAGATGAAATTTATAAAATGTTAAATAACAAAAATAAGTAAAAAAGCCACGGAGACAGCAGAAAGCAGATTTTAAAGAAAAAAATTATTTTAAATATTCCAAGTCATATTTAAATGCTGTGAAATATCTATGCAATTATTCGTATAATATAATATTGTAACTTTTAACTGATTTTTATTCAAAAAGGATATTATCGCTTAAATCAATTATTGTACATATCTTATATTATTCACCATTTATTTAATTACTTTGAAATATGATAATCGATTTGAGAACAATTTTGTTTTTCTTGATACTATTAAATATATTATTAACTTTAAAAATGTTGCAAAATGTAATTTTACTAATATGTAACCAAGATACCTACAAATCAATTACGATCTCTCATGTACAAATTGAAGTTAATTTTATAACTACTTTATCTTAACAATCAAATGTTGGTAGTTATCAAATGATTATAATTATCATCTAACTAGAAATTAAATGGGTACTTTTATATTTTAATATTCTTTAAGCAATATGTAATGGCTTTAAAAGATGTACATAAAATATTTTATGGGTAAAACTTATTAAAAACCTTTGGTAGAAAAAAAATCATAAAATCTTTTAAAAATGAATTATTAGATCCTAAAAAGATTTATCTATTTCGGAATTCTTTGCAATATTTAAATTTATATTTAATTCTCGATTTTATCTATTTGTGTTTATTAAATAGTTCAAGATTTTTTTTTCCATTGGTTAAAGGACTTACACATTTAAATAATATTTATAACTATGGTAGATTTTAATTTTTTTCAGATTTTAATCGATTATAATTTTATGTTGTCACATAATATGTAGAATATTTAGTAAAATAAAAAAATTATCGATACCAACGATTGATGGATTTATTGTAAATTAAATTACGGGTTTTTTTATGGTATATTAAATATTTTTTTTTTTTGATTTACAATATTTTTACTAAAAATCTTAAGAATTTATTCATTCACCCCGTTGAAAATCTAAATCATAATATTTCGAAGCGTTTCGATGAAAATTTCAATGTCGTGCAATATCACCTATTGGTTATTCAGTGTTTGCTAAACATTTTCATGGTTAGAACGTCCAAACAACATTTGTCCTAAGCAAAGTTGAGCAGCATGAACTTTAAGTATGAGTGATGGCTTTACGAATATAGTATGGTTCCCGATTATTCAAAGAATAACCCGATAGTGTTACAATACACCATTAATACTTAACATTTATGTAGCACCTTTATCGCATAGCACCGCTAACTATTTCGCTAAAGTTGTAGACCGCACGTTGAAAAATATTATCACTAAAGTCGAAGAGGAGGGTTAAAACGCTAAAACGGAAATATTTCGGTGGAATCGAATCACGCGGTAGAATGCCCGCGACAGAATTTCGAGAACAATGCACGACACGATGGGCAAGCGAATGGAAAATTGTGCGACGATCATGAATCGGCGGTGGCGGGCATCGGAGTGGTAGACGAGCTGCTGACCGTCGACGGGTTCCTGTAGAGAAAACCGTTGTCGGTCGAAGCGCCAATGCCGCTGTGACCGTTGTAGTGAAGAGGGGTGGACTCGGATGGCCTGAAGCTCGACCCCGACTGCAGCACATCTCCGTCCGGTCTCCTCTGCAGATATTCTCGCTGCTGATCGTTCCAACCGCCGGCGGACGACGATCCCCTGCGCAAAGAAAACAAAAAACATTACGAGAAAATGCTAATATAAATAATAATAATTATTGTGCCGCGATGTTTTCACGGCGTGTACCAAGCCACGCGGTACGAATTCGCCGATGGACATTGTCGTTCGTACGCGTCGCGATTGTTTTCGAAAAACTACTCGTCAGAACGGCGTACTCGTTGTTAATACGGTTCATAGCACCAAGGTTCCCGTTTGGAGTTAACGATACTACCACGATTGTTATTGCGTACGCGCAGTATTCGCGCCGGCATAAATTTAACGGTTCGGTGGGCCTGTGATTCACGTTTTTCGGTTGACCTTTCGGGTTGCCGACCGGCGTTGGTTGTTCAACCTTTATTGTTCGTGTACAACACGGACAACCGCGCGTATACTTATAAGTTGTTCCGAAAAACAATGACAGATAAAAATACATTACGTTTTCGAGAAAACCATAAACCTTCTGCACACCGGAATCGAGTCAAGGGGAAATATTCAATTCTAACACATCGTTCTTGATGATGATGATGATGATGATGATGATAATAATAATAGTACAAGTCTTTTCGATTCCGAAATCTAGCACTCAAATCCTGCCACGTACGCGTTGTTTTTCCACACTACTACAACACGCATTCGAACGTGGTATTCGTAGGAAAACAAACATATATTTTAGAAACGTTATTCAACGATTGTGTTGCGCTCACCTCATAGAGTTCGATTGATAATCCCAATTGGACGCGTATCCTTTTCCATATCCCGTCTGTTGTTGTTGTGACCCGTACACGTCGTTTCCGTTCATGAACGGTCTTTCGTTATCGTAGTCCGGCCGATTGTTCGTCTGATGAGGTCTGCCGCCACCACCGCCGTTGTCCGAATAACCACTGAATTTGTCGAATTCCAGTCTTTGAGAACCGTAATCCGATACCATAAGGTTAGCCTGGTGCACGGACCCCACGAAAGGCCTGCCGGAATCGTAGTTCGGTCGTGTCCCTCCGGCCCCGGGTCTCGTTAACCCGTAATCGTCCGGTCTCGAAGAACCGTAACCGTCCGGTTTCGAAGAACCGTAACCGTCCGGTCTCGAAGATCCGTAACCGTCCGGTCTCGAAGAACCGTAACCGTCCGGTCTCGAAGAACCGTAACCGTCCGGTCTAGAAGCACCGTATCGGTCCGGTCTCAAGCCAACGTTACCGCTGACCAATCCGCCGTATCCCATCGATGCACCGCCGCCACCGGAATGTTCGCTAAACGAATTTTCGCCCCAGTGCTGGGTGGGCCGTGAAGCTATTATCGGATACCCAGGTTTCGGTGATCCGCCCCATGCTACCGGTCTAGGAGACGTTACCTCGAACTCGGCCGGCCGCGATGTACTGCTCCATCCCGCAGAAGGTCCGGAACCGTAATCGGCGGGTCCATCACGATTGATCGTCGGCTTAACGTAGCCAATCGTAACCGGCTTGTCGTAACCGTGCATCACGGGCTTGTCGTAGTTCGAGTTACCGTGGTCGGCCACCGAGTTCGTGGGTTTCAACCCGTAATCCTGACCGGGTTTGCCGTTGTAACTCTGCCCTCCGTACCCGTAGCTGTTACCGTAGGTGGAACCGTAGTCACCGCCGTTGCTGTTTCGGTCGATGTACTTGTACCCATGGTTCATCTTCACCACGTCATAGGAACCGGAGCCTCCCCAGCCCATGAAAGGTTTCTTCCGGTCTGAGTTGTCGTACCCAGTGCCCTTGTTGAAATACTCGTCGTCCTTGTCGTCCGCCTGATGATGACCACCGTACGTTTGGGATGGTTTACCGGACTCATACTTTTTCGGTCCACCGATCCATCCAGCTATGACTCCCACTTTCTTGCTGTCCTCATCCCAACCGATATCCTTGGGTGGTTGGCTTTGCCAGTATCCCGTCTCCACTTTCACAGGGTGCGCTCCTTTTATGTTCCATCGGTCGATCGAGGGTTTGTGGTAATTTCCTTGACTATACATCCCTTGTCCTTGACTTTCGACAACTGAATAGGACGTCCCTTGATAATATCCACTATTACCACCACTGTAACCACCGCCTACAACACTACCACTGTAACCACCACTTCCAACACTGCCACTGTAACCACTACCTCCCATGCTGCCACTGTAACCACCACCAGCCATATTGCCTCCAACACTACCACTGTAACCACCACCTCCCATACTGCCACTGTAACCACCACCTCCCATACTGCCACTGTAAC